TAATATCATTTTGTTATAAGTCAAAGAGAAAAACCAATTCCCAGCCAAAGCCACTGTCTATGGAGGGTGCACTCTCCCCTTATGTCTGTGTGGGTTTTCTCCAAGGACTCTGGTTTCCCTGCAAATAGATGGATGAGCCTATGTTGTCCTAGTCTGAACGCACGTGTGTGTGTGTGTGTGTGTGTGTGTGTGTGTGTGTGTGTGTGTGTGTCTGTCCAGAGAGGTCCCATCTCATGCCCTGAGCTGCCAGGATAGGCTTTGGACAACCATGACCCTGAACTGGAATCAGTGGGTTTGAAAATAATGATATAACATGTTTTTATTCATCTTTCTTAAATGTATGTATAGTTTACATTTATTTCAATATTTAATATTATAAGTCCTTTGGGTCTTTATTTAGAAGTTTGGTGATTTTTTTATGACTAGAAATATGCCATAGGAACTTAATCCTTGTTTATATCAATTATCCTGTGGTAAAATTTGGTTTCATTATACATCATTTTGCTTAAAATGGCAATTTCCAAGAATCTATCGACAATGTTCAGTGAGACTTACTATAATAATGCCTGTAATCGGCTATCCATATTAGACTATAACTTACCTCTGACAGTACATTTTATGGTTTAATGGGTTTAAAACACATGTTGGGTTTTTAAATATATAAATAAATTTTTATCTCAAAGACAAATTTGCTACGCTTCCCTTCCCCCACCTTTTACTAAAGGAGCAAAAGCAATAGTTTATAGAAAGAGGACTTCGGATGTGCCTGTGGTGGGTGCTGCAGTACAGGCCCTGCCTCCCGTACAAGAGGGAGGCATCATGGTCCTGATGCTGAGAGTTGGTGCTCACAGCTCTCACTGAGCTGCTTTCGAGGTTTGCCCTCAGCCACAAATAGCCAATGAGGGTCATGATCCTCTTTCTGCGTGTAGCTTGTGGCCAATGTCCAGTCCATACTGGAATAGAAAGGCCCACATCTTTGCCTCAAGACAAGACAGTGCTGGAGATCCAGCCCAGGCCTAGGACTCAGCATGCGGTCCATGGATGCCTCTGTTGATGGAGTTAAATCCCGCTTCTGGCCCACACTGACTTTCTCGGAGATGCCGATCCTGAGAGCGCTCACCATAAACTTTCTCCACACAAACTGCCTTCTGTGGGTTCATTTTCTGAGAACCCTATCTGAGACCCTCAGCTTCTCAGTCTTCCTAAGACTTCCACTATTATACCTCTTGTCTGAATGCTCAGTGAGAAAAGGTCTCAGGTCTCAGGCCTCAGACAAGGCCAATGCAGGGGCAAAGCTTCCTGCCCTGTTCTCATTGCCCTAACTGTTGGGCTAAAGACAGAGATTAAAAATTACAGTGAAGTTGCAGCAAAACTGTAGACAGAATTACAATTGGGTATTTCTTCACATTTATGAAATGATCATCCCATTATAAATGTGTCAAGGGCATTTTAGTCAAAGCTAGTCCAAACAACCATGTGTACAAACACACAAAGAAGACAGATAAATAAACTTAAGGAAAGAAATAAAAATAAACTTTTATCAGATTGTTTTTGTTTAAAATACTAGCTGTGAACTCCTTTATCAACTAAAGTACCCATTGTAAAAAATAATAACAATAATGGTCTGTCCCCTAAGTGTAATTACATTATAGTTATTTCAATTTCCCTGACACAGGGACAGGAATTTAGTTTTCCCTCTCTTCCTCTGCCACTGGGATGATGAGCAATTCTGTGCAGAACTGAAGCATCACCCGGATGCTGCTCATTTGGACTCAAGAGTCTCTTTTATCCTCTCCCACTTCTACTCTGGGTTCAACCAATTTTCCCACATTAATACACACATTTGCACTGGAAACGCAAATAAGCAAAACCACATCACTTAAGTAGAAAAGGTCACATTTTTTTTTCTAAGAATGGGTTTTCAGTTTTAATTGAATTATTCTTTCATTTCTTTACATATACTCCCACATAGATCAATAATTTTCCACAGACGCCTTAAAATAATTATTGCATTCTTGCTTCTTTTTATCACTTTCTTGCTTGGCTCCCCCCCCACTTTTTTTTTTTTTTTTTGCTTCCTCTGTTTTGGCTACACCTCCATCAAGAAACCCAGTCCAACACTCAAGTGTGTGTTTCATATTCGTTTCTGCACTCAATACTATACAGATCTAGTTACTCACACAGTTGGCCACGCATGCAGATCTTATGCTCACTCTTACATATTTTGTTTTCTCACTCACTATCTCTCTCAGAGTTATCAGGCATAGATCTCATTTGTTCCTTTTTAAAAATGGCGATCCATTACTTGAATACATCACAATATTTTTAACCATTTACTTATTGAGACATTTATTTTTATGTTTTTTTGTCACTATAAACAATATGTCAGTTAATAATGTCTACCTTTATAAACTGCATTTTTAATATGTCTGATATAGGTTCTTCAAACTGGAATTACTGGGTTAAAGGGCATATATATTAGTCTTAATATATGTGGAAAATTGTTTTCTAAAAGGTTATGAAATTGTACATTACATTGGTAATGTATACTTTTCTCTTCATAGATACCAGCAGGTATTACAGATATTATACCCTTTTCTAAAATGTTGCCAGTCTGATAGATAGTTCTTTGATTTGCTTTCCCTCTGTACTAATGAATTTGAACACATTTTATTATGATTATAGGCCATTTGGATTTTGTGTGTGTGTGTGTGTGACATGCATCTTCATATATTTTACATATTTTTCTATTGCTTGTCTTTATATTGCCAATTTATAAGAGCTTTTTGGTATCTATGTTAGCTTTTATCTCTAATTTATGTTTTGAATATTCTTCTAAATTTCTGTTCCATTGACCTTATTTTTGGTATTTTTGGTCATGTATTTTGGTTACATATATGGTCACTTGTGGTATTAGGGTATGTATTTAATAAATACACATATACATATATATTACATGTTACATACTAATATATTAAATACACATTCATATGTATACTAAAATGTCAAAATACAAAATGCTAGTTGTTTCTTCATCAGTTAATTTATTAAAAGAACAACAAACAAAAAGACAAAATATGCACATACTTTTTTTACTCCCTTAAACAACTATATTTAGTAATCTTATATACTGAAGTCTATTTCTGGATTCTCTGTTCTACTAAATAATTTTTTTATTATATGCCCTTATAGCTGCATCTGATAGAAAATGCTATTTTCTTATTATTTCTTTATGTAATTTCCTTGGTTATTGTAAGGTAATTATTCTTTCAAAGTAACTGTTATTTTATCCAGCCCCAAACAAACAACAACAACAACAACAAAACATCCTTCCAGCCCAGCCAGCATGAATCATGGTTAAGCATTGACCTATGAACCAGGAGGTTACAGTTCAATTCTCACTCGGGCACATGCCCAAGTTGCAGGCTTGGTCCCCAGTGTGGGGCATTACAGAAGGCAGCCAATCAATGATTTCTCCCTCCTCACTGATGTTTATATATCTTTCTCCATCTCCCTTCCTCTCTGAAATCAGGAAAAAATATTTTAAAAAATATCTTTCCATTGGGACTCTAATTGGAAATGAATTAAATTTATATTTTAATCTTAGGAGACCATTTAAAAAAATATACTAAAACTTCATATCCAAGAACATATTTGCCTTTTTATTGGTTTCTTGTGTCTTTTATTAAGATTTTATAGATGCTTAACATAGGTTTTATTTTACATTTTTTTCTACATTGCATAACTTTATTTTTACTAGTATACATGGAATATTGTGTGTGTGTGTGTGTTTTTTTTTTTTAATTTCTAGGTCTTTAGTGGTAGAGAAAAGCTACTGACTTCTATTTAGACATATTTCAAGTTTTATTAGTTCTGTGCTTTTTCCTTTAATCTGTTGGTTTTCTATATGTACAAACATTGCATTGATAAAATACACATTTTTTTCTTATTTTCTAGGGTGTACAATAGATATTTGTTATATATTCTTCATTAGCTAACACCTTTAGAGCAATGCTTTTTAAAAAAAGGAATTATGATAGCATCTCTATTTTCTGATCATTATTAAAATTATTAAGTTTTAACTTAAGATACCAAAAGTTGTTGGTTTTGGGTAAATAATCTTTAGTATAATTGAGGATATTTCTTCTATTTTGTTATATTTAAAGATTTAAAGAAATATTGTTGAATTTAATAATTTATTTTTTACTGACTATTTATTTGATTGCCTGGTTTTTCTTTTATTGACTTCTGTATAGGATTATATAGACAGATTTTCTGATATTGAGTCATCCTTGCTCTTCTGTGCATGTATTTACTTGCTACTCTTTTAAATTCCTAGAGAAATATTTATCAAATGTGTCAAATATTTATATGATTTAATAAAGGGTTTCATGATCAAATTAATTAGAGAAACACTAAATCAAACAGAGTTAAATGGTACTTCTCAGAACCTTTACAGCTAATGTGTATTGCAACTTATAAGAAGAGATTGGGATATAAAGTGTTTAGTGAACTTTATTTGACCATCCACATTTAATGGACCATTTCATGGCACTATGTTAAGCAGAACAAACTTTTGGGAAATGCTTTAATGGAGATTCTATGCTAAGGTTTGCAAATATTTTCAAAATATGAGATCAATTAAATCATAAGGGCAGAGCATAAATTAAAAGTGGCAAGTATAGTATGCCAAAATCATTTGGGAAAAATTAATTTAACTAACATTTATGCCAATTATACTTACTTTTATTTATACCCAGAGTTTTGTCTGAGTATGCCCTAACTACTGATGTTTGGTATTGTACAGACCCATCTTAAAGCATAGGGTACATAGGGGCTGAATACACTTTCAACTTCAGCCACTTGTTAAAGTGGGAGTCTAAAAAGAAATGCAACTGAACCTGTTCCCACCCTATATTTTGTGACTCATAATATCATAACTATCATGACATGATGACGCAGATGGACTATTATGATTACGGTTTGCAAGTGGCACTCACCAATGACGTATTCCACCCTGAAGAGATCTTTTCTGGGATCATATGGACGATTGAATTCGATCTCGATGTAGAAAGATTGTCCTCTGCGCACAATTAGCTTGTTGTTATTATACTTGTCAGTGTGGTGATCCACTTTGTTGGTGTCCCAACTCTCCTTGAACAGGTGAACAGTCGTAACATGAAGGTAGTCTATGCGTAACAAAAAAAAAAAAAAACAACAACAAGAGAAACCATTTTGTTACTTCGTTTACATGTAAACCCTAAGAACAAGAACATTTTGATTGAAGCAGGAAGATCTATTGGATAAAACTCTATACAGAGGGCTGGTAGGTTTGAGAGTCAGTGTCTTGTGACATTTTTGCTTTCAAAGAGGATTTTTAAAAAGTTTTTTCAGCACTAACAGGTTTAGCTCAGTGGATAGAGTGTTGGCTTGCGGACTGAATTGCCCAGGTTTGATTTTAGTCAAGGGCATGTTTCTTTCATCAGTGTTTCTCACTCTTTATCTCTCGTCTTTCCTCTACGTAAAAAAAAAAAATCAATAAAATATATTTTAAAAAATAAAGAAGCTTTTTCACACTCTGATCTCATTCCAGACCATATAGCATTGGCTTTTGAAACAGATAGGTCAGTGTTGACAGTGCCTATTGTATAGGTCTAGATACAGAGAAACTAGTATTAAAGTCAAAGTCTTCACATTCCTTGGTTTTTTTTTTTATACCAGGTAGCTTCTCATGGTAACCACTGCCACACTGTGTCTTTAAAAGGGGAGGAATCTTTAAAAGGGGAGAAATCTACTCTGACAAATCCTGTAAAAATGTCCTAAAGACAAAGTTGAATATTAACCCCAAATTCTTCTCTTACTTCAAGAAGGTCAAATGGCCCTCCTTTTGTAATTCTTAAAGTAGATCTTGTCCCTCAGAGTCAGAAAACAAAGGCAACAGGTGTGGAGAAAAGATAGCAACATTTCTATAAAAAATGTTTCCACTTTGTAATTGCTTATAATGGCTTCCACTTTGCACATTCAGAAAGAAGGCTCACATTTCCCTAGCTACTAATCAACCAATCTGGAAGCAAACCCTGGTCTGATGCCAAAAATCTACAGATTTCTTAGTGTTGAGAGTATAACTGTCAGTAATACCTTTCATCTGAGACATGATAGCACTGGATAAAGATTAGATATTCCCTCTGCGAATGATCACTGAATGTGAAGCTAACTACAACTGTAGTTTAAAAAGTCTAGTCTAGAGACCGACTTTTGTCTATGCATTTGCAGTTCTAATGGGGCCCCGGGGAGCGAAGGCTGGGTGGGGAAGGCAATGGCCTCTTGCCTCCTTCCCTTCCCCTCACCCGGCCAGCTGCATGGTTTGTGCTCACAGCCGTGAACACTGTGCGCATGGAATGCACAGATGCTGAGCGTGTGCTGGGGCATCACTCTGGAAGACTCCAATGACCTCCTTTGCCTTTACACAGGAACCTGTGTAGGGCACCTGGTTTTCTCCACTCTCACTTTTTTTCTCATTGGGGAAACCAAGAAACTGGGCTCATTAAGATACTCTCCAGTTCTAAAGTTGAGGAGTTTCTAAAAACCAATTAATTCAAAATTCAGACAATCCTAATTTTGAATCTCAGCTATCATAATAACAGTTCAGGAACATTGTCTCTCAGAAGCTGAATTTTTCTCAACTTTAAAATGGGGATCTTAATATCTTGAGAATTGCTGTGCAGATCCAATGATACCATGATGCAATGTATCTGGAACTATGCCTGGCACGTAGTGGGGTCATAGACTTACTTGTTTCTCACTGAATATGAACTCTGATGAAGCTAATTTACATTTTGCATGGGGTGGTGCTCAATGAGCTATTCTGACTGCAACATTACAGCAAACAGAAAGTGCAAGATGCAGTTTTATTTTTACCTCACCTCAGAACCCTGCCACACTACATGGGCCCTGAAAGATGCTTTATTTCCATTATATTGTGGGATAAAGATGTTTAATTCTCTACACCTCTTTTCTGCAAGCTGCCTTTCCCCTAAATTCTCTGTCCTTATGAAAGTCACAATCCCCAGTGTTAATCCAGCTTCAGAAAGGGCTGAAGAGGAGGGGGTCAAGATCGTGGGGTGGGAAACTCTTGATCTCATCTACTCCTATGGCCACACCAAAACTAAAGTATGTGTAGAACAAACATCTTTGAGAATGACCTACAGACTAGCAGAATAGATTTTCTACAACTAAGGAGTTAGAGAAAAAGACACATTGAAAAAGGACAGGAGGATCTAGTCATCACCCACATCCCCAGTGTGGTTTCCCACAAATCGCAGGGATTTCATCAACATGGAAGTCCCCTCTGAGTGATGGTGCTAAGCCCCATATTGAGCACCCCAGCCTGGGGGAACCTAAACCATAAAGAGAAGTCCTCATGACATCTGTCTATGAAAACAGTGGGGTTATGTCCAGGAGAGCTGAAGGGCTTTAGGAAACCAAGATTCTGCTTTTATTTTTATTTTTATTTTTTATTATTATTTTTTTATATTTTATTGATTTTTTACAGAGAGGAAGGGAGAGAGATAGAAATGTCAATGAGAGAGAAACATCGACCAGTTGCCTCTTGCACACCCCCTACCAGGGATGTGCCCGCAACCAAGGTACATGCCCTTCACCGGAATCGAACCCAGGACCTTTCAGTCCACAGACTGATGCTCTACCACTGAGCCAAACCAGTTTCGGCAAGATTCTGCTTTTAAAGGGCTTGTGCACAAACTCTCTCAGAGTTCCAGCACTGAGGCAGCAGTTTAAGAAACTCCTGAATTATAAATGAAGGAAGTGTGTTGACTAATTTTAGGGCAAGTGATGGAGGGGCAGTAATCTGTGCAAGTTTCCTCTGGGGATAAAAGCCCTGACAAACACCATTTATTTTTTTTACCCTCCTAGCTGGCCTAGAGCTGGCAGGCACCATTTCCAACACTCTTCATTAACTTTCCTAATGTTACTCACCCTGCTCTACTGTTTCCCTGAGATTCTATCCCACCCAATCTTCCCATGGCACCTAGCATCACTCCAGAGCATCTTGTGGGTAGCTTTATCTAGGACTAGTGTCCCTACAAAGTGACTCTCACTCCACATGATTAGCCCCCACACATCAACATGTCTACACATTTGAGGCTGACATTGTGGCTAGCCATGTAGGGGGTCTACCTGTACACTAGTACAACAACAGAGATTGCCTGGCCTCACCACCAGCCAGGCCAGGGAGTAGGCCTGCCCTTCAGGGCAGCCAGAATAGTCATGCCCAGGCTTCATTGACAGCTGGGCCTAGAACCAATCCCGTCCACCAGTATACCTGAAACAATTGTGACAGGGTTTCACAGCATTTGGCTTGGGAGACATACTAGTACCTGCCTACCAACATGCCTTCAGATCTTTGGTTCAATCAAAACGGGTATATGCAACTGACAAAGGGAATGACCTTGGGTCGGTGAACAGGAAGTATTGCACAACTGGGCCTATAGTATAATTTTTAAATACTAGTAAGCCCACTCTTTCAATAGCAAGGGACATAACTGATCTTTCAAATACAAAGAAACAACACAGAAAGTTGGGCAAAGTAAGAAGACAGAAGAATATGTTCCAAAAGAACAAGCACATGGCAAAATCCCCTCCATAAAAGAACTAAATGATGATGGATATATACTGTATGGCAGATAAAGAGTTCAAAATAATAATCTTAAAAATACCAAATGCAGAAGAAGAATGAATTAACACAGTGAGAACTTCAACAAAGATATAGAAAATTTAATTAGAACTGAGGAATACAATAAACTGAAATAAAAAAAAAATAATAATAATCTAGAGGGAATCAATAGCAATTAGATGATGTAAGAGAACAAATCTGCAATCTGGAATACAAGGTAGTGGTAATCACCCAACCTGAACAACAAAAAAAATTAAAAAATGTGACTAGTTTAAGGGCCTTCTGGGACAACATCAAGCATATTAACATTCACTTTATAGGAATCCCAGAGGTGAAGAGAGAGTGAAAGGGAAAGAAATCCTATTTGAAGAAATAATGGCTGGAAACTTCTCTAACTTAATGAAGGAAACAGACATCTAATTCAGGAATCACAGAGTCTTAAACAATATAATCCAAAGAGACTGATATCAAACACATAATAATTAAAAATGTAAGAAGTTAAAGAAAAAGAGAGAATCCTAAAAGGAGCAAGAATAAAACAACTAGTTAAGTATAAGGGCACACCCATGAAACTATTAGCTGATATTTCAAGCAGAAAATTTTCAGGTCACAAGGAAGTGGCATTATATTCAAAGTGATTAAAGGGAGAAAATCTACAAACAAAAATACTCTATTCAGCAAAGTTATTATTCAGAATTGAAGGAGTTTCCCAGAAGGCAAAAGCTAAGGGAGCTCATCAGCACTCAATTGGCAGGAAATGTTAAAGCGACTTTTCTAATTGGAAAAGAAAGGCCAAAACTAAAGGAAAATACATGAAAGAAAAAAACTCACTAGTGAAGGAAACATAAAATATAAAGGTAGTGGAACAATCACTTATAAAGCTAGTATAATGGTTACAACAAAAATCATTTATATCTATAATAAATAATTAAGAAATACATATACAGGGGTTGGGGAGTTAATGGAAGGATGAGTACACATATGTAGTACCTTAATCAATAAACAAATTAAAAAAGGAAATACATTACATAAAGATGCAAACTATGATATTAAAAAATGAGGGGAGAGCTCAACCAAAGGACTTGTATGCATGCATATAAGCCTAACCGATGGACACAGATAACAGGGTGATGAGGGAATGAGGGGGGGTTTGGGAGGGCAATGGGAGAATAAGGGCACATACCTTAATAAGGGTAATACCTTAATCAATAAAGAAGAAAAAAATAAAATAAAATTGACAGGTTGTAGGGGGGGGGAGGGGAGAGGAAGGCAGTGCTTTTAAAATGCACTTAAACACAGCAACCATCAACTTAATACAGACAGCTATATATATAACCTGTTATGTATAAATATCATGGTAACCACAAACAAAAACTATGAAAGACACACAAAAATAGAAAAACGGAATAAAACATAACACTAAAAATATAATCAAATCACAAGAGAAGAGAACAAGAAGGAATGTAGAACTACAAAAAGAAGCAGGAAACAACAAAA